GCGGAGCAGTAATACGCTGAGTGAGCTGAACAAAGAATACATCACAAAGTCAAATGCTAGGACACCAGGAAGATTTGCAAGTTTCTTAGGAGAATATAGGGCCTACTTTACATACTGCTAATTTTTACATGCCAGGCACTTTCTAAGTGCTGAATGCACATGAATTCCTTTAGTCCTCCAATAATCTTAAGGGGTAGGAATGATTAATATACCCTTTTTATAAATAGGGAAACTGAGGCACTGAGATGTTAAGTAACTTCCTCAAGGTCATATAACTCATAGAAGGTGGGGCTGTGAGTGGAACCCAGGCAGTCTGGGCCTTGAGGGGACCTGGAGAGCCCAGCCACCTGGTCGCTTAATCTCCACATTCTTCTTTCCACAGCATACCCTTCGTCCCCCCCACCGCCCCATAGGTTGTAAGAATGAGTTCCTAAACAAACGATCTCAGAAGCAGATGGGTATTTAAATGAACAGGAAACCAAAAAGTCAGTCAATTTCAAAGGAGAAAACACTAACACGATGGTTTTCAAACTTTTTTTTGCTTGCACCATCTCACTTTGAATCCAATTGATGTAAGAGAGACAAGTGGAATTGTTCTGCTTGAAGCAAGGGGCCCAGAAGCCACGCAGGCTCTGACCGCACCGTGCCCTCCTCTCTGACCTCAGGCAGCTTAAAGGACTAAGGGATCCAATTAAGAGTCCTGTCTTACATCAACCACTGGTTGAAAAGAAAACCAGGGATACTGGAACCCATTCACCTGTCCTTGTTCTCTGACTTGGCATCAGATTATTAGAGTTAAAAAAAATAATAGTAATTAGTGGTTTGCACCATTTTAATCAGAAACTCTCCAGTTTGGTCATTAAACCTCCTTATAATGAAGTATTTCTGGTTTTTGTTTTGCATCTCCATTTAATATAGGATCAATGACCTTACTAAGCACAGAATAGCTGAGAGGAAAGATAAGACGAATAGGGAGGAAAAGCAAAGTTAAGGGATCTGTGGTGGCTGAGAATACTGAGAAAGCTTTTGTGTGTACAGATTTTGAAGCAACTGTCTGACTTTGAAAACGAATGGCTTAGAGAGTGGTTCTTCTGTTTATTTATTTTCCTTACTTTTCCCCTTCCTGTTCCTCAAAAGGACAGGAGCTCAGGATATTTATTCTTGCTCAGTACTGGTTTTTTCTAAACATTATCTAAGCAGTCCAAAGTCTCCATAGGAGGAATTGTCACACCTGTGGGGCTGCTTGGGCATGCCCCTTGGTACCTGGAGATCAGGTCACCTAAACTAGTAAATTTCCAAAATATTTCTTCCAAGGAAGCCTGGACTAAATACCAGAGATTTCCTTGGCTCTTTAAGTCTACATAACTGCTGCCAGCATTTCTACCAAGTTGTCGACTTCTCTTGGCCATTTGAGCTTATGTATTTCACTTCATTAGTATAAGCAGGACCCACTCCTTCTCTAGATTCCTCTCCAAGACGTATTATGTGCTTCTCTCTTGTAGGAATACTGGGCATAAAGGGCAATGGTAGGTTACACCAGAATAACATGGAGCCAGCAATTCTAGGATTGAACTAGAACCCTTCACTTATTAGCAACTCCTCTTTGGGCAAGTTATGTAAATGCTCATTGCTCAGGTTCCTGGTTTGTAAGTTGGGAGTTAAATAATACCTATACTGATCTCTACTGAACCTTAGCAAAACCCATCAATCCATTCCTACACAAACTCTTCTAGAGCATAGAAAAAAATGTGGTAACCACTTGATGCATTGTATAGGATAATATAACTTTGCTTTAAAACTATAAACCCATCTGACTTATGAAGAAGATGAATAATCCCAAATAAAATATTATCAAAGAAAAACCAATGATGTTTTAAAAAATACATCAATCCTAGGAATATAAGGATGCTTTTGAACCATTAGAAAAATATCATGGTTAAACACAGTGGATTGAATGCATACAATTAGCTCTATTCCCTCCTGAAACCCCACCAAAATGCCAGGAAAGAAAGAAACGGAAGTATATATGTGCAAGGACAAAGAGATGGGGAGAAAACCTCAGTGGGCAAGAGATGTCAGTGGTTTTTGGGAGGCAAAACTGTTTAAGGAAGGGCACTGACTCAGCAGAATAGAGAAAGTGAAATTCTAAATGCCTATGGAGGGAACTGTTGATGAGAAGTACAGGATTTGTGCCACAGAACTCCTGAAAGGCTCACAAGTTAGTCACTAGGTTCTTAGAAGATGGAGTGATGGAGGAATGTGCTAAAAGCAGCAAGGGGATGGGGAGGGTATGAATGAAGAAGATGATCCTATAAGTTCCCTTCTCCGACCCAGCAAGACATGAAAGTCTTCTTTTCTGGAGTCATTAAACCAGGGGAGCTCCAGACTCCAGTGTACCAAAGAGGTCTGAGGAGTGACCATTTCCTAGGAAGGAAGGAAGGAAGGAAGGAAGGAAAGAAGGAAGGAAGGAAGGAAGGAAGGAAGGAAGGAAGGAAGGAAGGAAGGAAGGAAGAAGGAAGGAAGGAAGGAAGGAGGGAAGGGAGAGAGGGAGGAAGAGGGGGAGGGAGGGAAATGAATCATATCCAGCATTTACTGAGTACTTACCATGTGCCAGGCTCTGTTTTAAATGATCAGTATATATTAATTCATTTGATCTTCGTAACAGCCCAGCAAATAGGCAAATAAATGTACCAAAATAGCCGAGACAATTTTTAAAAAAGAACACAAAAATGGGACTTACACTACCAGATACTAAAACACACTAGAAAGCTATAATAATTTAACAGTATGGTTTGGATGCTAAAATGGACATTTAGGCTAATGAAACAGAAGAGTATAGAAACTGACCCTCACATACGAGAATGAAAGATATGATAAAAATGACATTTCCAGCCAGTAGGGCAAGAAACCCAAACAATTCAGTAAGTGATATTGGGACAATTGACTATAACAGACACTTGGAAGATATAAGTTCTAGATGAGTTAACGACAAATCTAATAATAAAAACATGTTATAAACTTGGACTCTTAAGTAAGGTCTTCTGAACTAAGACTTGCTTGGCAACACGCTGAAGGTGAAACTTACAGCACATTATTTAGCCTTCTGATATATTGTATTTTTTGTTTTTAATCAATGGAATGAAGATGACAATAGAATTATTATGAAGTTCACTCTGATTGGCAGTGGGTAAATCTCGTTTGTTATGTTAAACTTTGTGGTTTAGTAGTTGCATCCAATTCTGCATACCTCCGTCCTCTGGAGGTATTGAAATTTTATTTTTCTGCTGCTATTAACAACACATTTGAGTCTAATATGCAGACAGGGCCCCTGTGTTAACTCCTATATCTCAGCACCTCTACAAGTGATAAGAAAATCTTCCTCTTTGACATTTTTGACAAGTTCCTAACCTACTGCAGGACTGCTTGTGAATGTATGGTTATAAATGCCCGTTCAAAAACAGCAAGAGATCTGTGAATTCTGGATGTTCTTTGACTTTCTCCTTTTGAGATCAGTTCCCACAAGAAGAAAATTATTGGACTTATCTACTTAGTGGGCATCCTCTCTACTCCGTTGCTGTAAAGAGTGAATGCTTTACCAAGTGGAAGTGAAAACATTTTAAGGTCATTATTTTCCCCCTCTCGAGCAGTAAGGTAAAAAGACAAAAGCTGCTTCCGTGGTTAAACTGTTATATTGGTTATTTAGCTGCTTTTTACCTTCCTAGATAACCAGTTCTATGACAAAGTAGCTCCATGCCGAGATAGAGACTTCAGTTTCAAGTGACAGAATCCTCATTCAAACCAACCCAAGAACATTCGTAAGGGAACAAATTGGCTTCAGTAGCTGGAAAGTCAGAGGCCGAATGTAGCTTCAGGCATAGCTGGTTTATCTAGGTAAGGCCTGGCCCCACCTGGCCCTTAGGGAATGAACCACACTCACTCCGCCCCATGCCCGAGGAAAGAGGAGGAGGCTTTTTGCCAGAATAAGAGAGGAAAGCCCTGAGCTAAAAAAAGCCACAGTGGTGACCTAAGATGTTTCCTGGTTCAGCACATCCTGCACGAAATCCTGCACCATCACCTTCTCCCTCAGGTTATTGCTGGAAAGGTCTGGCTTGGTCATGAAGCCACACTCTGTAGGGTATCTGCATCAGTCCCTTTGCTGTGTCTCCCCAGTGAGGCCAGAAAACAAGTTGCCTGCCCCCTGTTTCCTGTTCTGCCTCCATGTTACCTTGTTGCAATAGGCACTATGTAACAATCCATATTTGGTTTAGTGTGTGTGTGGGGGGGGGGGGGGTTAATTAGGACAGGATGATGTATGATATATAACATCATGGAAGTGAATACTCATGACTTCTAGTAGAATTGGTGTGAGAAGTCTCTTAAACATATTCCTGGGCCTGGAGAAATTTCCTGAGGCTTCTTCATTCACCCCTGAAGGTCTAAGTGCAATAGTTCTTGATCTGTGTGAACTGTTAGAATTGCCCTCAACATCAGATGAGGGGCTGGACCTGTGTTGGTAGGAATAGAGGAGGCGCCTAATTTCTTTGGGAACCACCATCTGATTGCTCCCCACTGGGGCAGAGGACTGGGGCTTGGTGGCCTAGCAGACAAATGTGTGGCCCTCTTCTGGGGGCCCCTCCCGTAACCCCATCCACCCAGGGAGGTCCGGGAGTATGACTGCCTTCCCCAATTCCATCTGCCTCAGGATAGGCTCAGGCACCTCCCATCATTTCTGTGTTCCAAAATTAGGTCTGTTGGTTCTCTCTCCACTCCTTTTATCATCCCCTCTCCGCAGAGTCTCTCCCCTCCTGGAGCCGTCAGAATGCTTTGTCTCCAGCACAGTAGCGGGCCAGTGGCTCCCGGTAACCAGGGGCAACCAGGAATCTGTACCAGCTATTTGTGCTGCGTTTGTCAGGCGCAATCTAGCCGCGAGCTGGGTAGACGGGGAAAATGTGCTGCAAAGGTTTTCTTGTACAGTGAAATATTATCTTCGCTTTTTTTAGAACGACCAGTCCATGGGCGAGATGCAGATAATCGGAGGCGATGATCTTTCAACACTGGCTGGAAAGGTTTGTTAATGTAACTCCGCTCGGGCTGCGCTGATGTCATGGGGAAATCAGTGACCTTCAGTTCAGGTCAGCTCTCGAAATGCATTTCAGACACTCTCCCGGGCTGGCTAATTCATGCAAATGGATGTGTGAATCCTTTTAATGATTTCTTCCCTATAAAACACTCCTTTCATAAAGCTTCCAGGACCTGAGGCCGACCAGATCTTTCGTCTCCAACCTTCCTTCCAATCTCTCTCCTTTCAGACAACCCCGTATTTCAAAATCTCTTGGCACTCTTGCTTTCTTCCTTTTCTCCTCTTGCACTTCCTCCAGAAAAGGAAGCTTTTTTCCTTTATTTGTCTCTTTTTTATCTCTCATCTATGCCTCAGCACCTAGGCATTGCAGTAAGACATTTAAACAGATTTGTTGAAATATCTAAAATTTAAGGAAGGGATTAAAATCTCGAGAGCACTTTTTTCAGCCTTATGCCTTTTTCACTCCCATGCAAAAGAATGTAATCCATTAGATCATGGGGCGAACACCTCCACTTTCAACTTGGCGTTCCAAACCTGCCAATGCTCAATAATTAAGTGAAAATTTGTTTGGATTCTGACATAAATACATCCATTGGAATGAAGAGTTTTGCCTAATGCACCTGACCTTTGTGGAAATGGGGCCTGAGATTCAAGTTTTGCTGTGAATACAAGCAACAGCCCAGGTCCTCTTGGACTCATTATCCTTGAACAACTTCAGCCTTCTGAGTCAAATGGATCAGCCTCCTCCACAAGTTTAATCTCTCATATTTGTGGTTGTTATTGTTATGCAATGTCCGGATGGGGAAAAGGAATAGCAGGCACATTTAACAGAAATACGTATAATAACATTAGGAACACGACAGAGCCACACGGGCTCTAACTAGACAAACCAGCTTCCTTCCCTCTACTCTTTAGAAAGCCTGGTAACCATCTACATGTGACATTGTGATCTAGATGTCAATTATGTTCCACAGAAATTGGAATTAACTGGCTGATGTTAATGCATCATTAGGCCACCATTTGATGTTACTACGTCAGTGCGTGAAATAACATCTTTGGGGTGCCTGGGGGGCTTAGTCCATTGAGCGTCAGACTTTTGATCTCTGCTCAGGTCTTAATCTCGAGGTTGTGAGTTCGAGCCCCGCGTTGGGCGCCACACTGGGTGCCACACTGGGCGTGGAGCCTACTTTAAAAAATAAAAGTAACATCCTAGAAATCTAAAATACTCAAAGCCATTTCCAGAAACTCACAACCTTTAACAACCCTGGAATGGCCTTTAAACAACAAGTCATTTGGGGACTTTGTTGGAGGACATTGCCTTAGAGGTGTGTGACACAAGAGAAATACCATACCTTGTGTGGTATTACACAAGCCTCTTGCCATGGGCTATTGGGGGGGGGGGTCTGTCAGAGTGGGAATTCTAAGAATTCTAAATGAATGCCAAAAAAAAGTTGCACATAAAATTGGTCTTTCTCTTCTGCTTTCTAAAATCATCTTCTATTTCATTTTAAAGTGATCTCCCTCTTACGTGAGCATAGGATATTCCCTTCCCTTAAGAGATAGAGAGGAGGGTGGGGAAAGGCTAGTTTTGTACTAAGGGATGGAGTGATAGGAGGGGTGATAATACTCTGCCTCAGTATCCCCTCCCAGAATTACTACAAAGACACCCTCCCGCCACGAGAAAATAGAGATCGTGGAAGTTCAGGTGGGAGAGGTAGAAAATCAGCCGGCAGTAAGTACAAGCAGGAGTCAGCTTCAACTTTTTGCTTACATGACAAATGATTCTTCCAGGTGCTATTCCATAGTATCTTTACACTAACATTTATGTGTGTGCTTCGATGGATTTCTATATATGCTTAAATGTGTGCTGAGTAGAACCCCTTGAGCTTAGAATGCAGGGGGTAAATATTTCTAAGATGAATCAATATTGATTAGCCAGGTTCTCAACTGTCACAACAGCTTAGGTTTAGAGATTATGCATCTTTATGCAGTTCAGGGTACCTGGGCTCCCATCAGAGAGGAGTGCTTAATGAACCAGGGTAGACCACACTCAGTGCTCTCAAATGTGTCTTAAATCTGCCCACTGCTCTCCATCTTCATGGTAATCACCTGAATCTAGACTTTTACAGTAGCAAAATGTGGTCTATGGCAGGGGTTAGTGAACTTTTTAGGGAAGGGCTGGGCAGTAAATATCTTTAGATTTTGAGGGCTATACAGTCTCTGTTGCAACTACTTAATTCTGCTATCATAGCATGAAACCAGCAAACAGCCAAAGATAAAAGGGAAACAAATGGACATGGCTGTGTTTCAATAAAACTTTATTTATAAAAATGGCCGATGGGCCATAGTTTGATGACCTTTGATCTAGGAACCAGCAAGGTCAGCACCATCTGCAAACTAATCAGAAATGCAGTATCTCAGATCCCACTGCAGATCTTCTGAATTAAGTCTTCCTTTTAACAAGATCTCTAGATGGTTCCTATGCACACGAAAGTTTGAGAAGCACTGGTCTTCTAGGGCCAGACCACTACTATCCCTTCTCTGGGATGCTATTGTAACCTAACTAGTCTCCTTGAACTTCTGCCTTCATTTAACTCTTGCTACCCTCCAAACCATTCTCCAAAAAACAACAGCCAAAGGGATCTTCTTAAAATACAAATTGGATCGCCTCATTTGCCTACTGAAAACCTTTCAGCGGCCCCTCAATTAGGGTTGTCAGACTTAGCAAAAAAAAAACAGAGAACAGGATGCCAAGTTGAATTTGAATTTCAAATAAACAATGAATGCATTTTTAGTATAAGCATGTCACATGCAATAATTGGAACATACTTAAGCTCAAAAATCATTTGTTATTCATCTGAAATTCAAATGTAACTGGGTGTTCCGTATTTTATCTGGGAACCCTACTTCCAGTGTTCTGAGATTATAATCCAACCTCCTTCTCACAGCTTGTAAAACTTACGTGATCTGGCCCTGCTTCCCTCCCACCATCATCATACACCACTCACCCCTCCTCACGGTGCTATCACCACACTGGTTAAGCTCCGAACAAGCTGTGGAATCCATTTTCCTCCTATCCTTAGGTCTCAGCCTCCTGTGTTAGGGAGGTCTTCCCTGACTCTCTGTCTAAAATGGGCATACATTCTTCTCCTGCATGCTCCCCACCTTCCCCATTCATCTCTGTACCAGTACCCTGTTTCAAGTCAAGCCCTTTCCACAGTTTGCAGTGTTTACTTTGAGGCTAACTTTTTTATTTGTCTATTTCCCCCACCAGAATGTCAGTGTAAGGTGGGCAGGGACCCTGCCTATCTTATTCACCATTCTATCTCCTGCATCGTGCACGGTGCCTAGCTGACAGGTTGGAAAAAATATTTGGTGACGGAGTGAATGCAGGTTCTTCTTTCTCTTAGAAAGAAATCAGGGGGCGCCTGGGTGGCTCAGTTGGTTAAGCGACTGCCTTCAGCTCAGGTCATGATCCCACGGTCCTGGGATTGAGTCCCGCATCGGGCTCCCTGCTCTGCAGGGAGCCTGCTTCTCCCTCTCCCACTCCCCCTGCTTGTGTTCCCTCTCTCGCTGTGTCTCTCTCTGTCAAATAAATAAATAAAATCTTTAAAAAAAAAAAAAGAAAGAAAGAAATCAGAAAGGTGTTTTCAATGAAGTGTGGGAAAGGGTGGACATGGCAGAGGGAAAGGTACATAGAAGTCCATCTAGCCAGACCAAAGGACACATCAGCCAGCAGGTTGGGTTCAAAGTGAATGAGGAAGGTGTCGAGTGAGGGCACATTGACTTTGAGAAGCAGAAGGGCTTTGGTGTCACAAGAGAGTCAAAGCGGGGACTGGGTTGGTGAATGCCGCACACCTGAAGGTGGACGAGTGAAAACAATGTCACTTAACTTTTGGAATTTCCTTTTCCTTAAACAGATGAAGGCATTCATATGGCTTGATCTGTTCACCCATCCTTCAGCCTTTCAGAGAAAGGCTTTGCATTAAGAGTTTGAGAGAACTTTAAAAATAAGTTTCAGAGGCCCTCCAGAATCTTTCCATCATGCAGAATGTACACCAGCTAGGGAAAAAAACAAACAAACAAACAAACAAAATTTGAAAAGGCACCCAACAATTAGTGGGAACTATTTTTAACGATCCCAGGAAAAGTCCCTTGCCCTTAAAGAAATGATTCCTTGGGACTGTGACTGTCTTCACAAGAGGAGGCTGAGGTTTTACTTGGGACCAGAAAACCTGGGAATAACCCAGAAAAGGGAGGAAGAGCATCATGAAATGAGGGATGAAGGAGGGAAATAGGAGAGCCAGAGAACAAGAGCAGACCCATGTGACTGAAAGAAATCAGCTCAAAATAGAGAAACAATACTTTAAAACACGGAAAATGTAAATTGGGTTTGGTTTGTAGAATATATTGAATGTCTCAATAAAGAGTTTAACTTGCTCAGAAAAGCAAAGAGGAGTTGCAAAAGTTTTTGAGCAGAAGTAACATCAAGAAGCTGTGTTTTGGGAAAATGAACTTGATAGGAGGGTCGAGGATGGGAAGGAGGCTCCAGGCAGAGAAACCAGTCAGGAAGCCATATAGGTGGAGCATGCACGGGCACCGGAACCACAGGAGCTAAGTAGGAGTGTTGCAGAAGGCACCGCGCTGACTGAAGGAGGAGCAGCGGAGCTAAATGATGAAATGAAGGAAGGAGGTTTTTTTTAATTTTTTTTAATTTTTAAAAATTTTTTAAGATTTATTTCTTTATTTGAGAAATAGATTTTTTTTTAATTTTTTAAGGTTTATTTCTTTATTTGAGAGAGAGAATGTGTGAGCGGGGTGAGGGTGGGGGAGAAAAGGGGCAGAGGGAGAGAATCTCAAGCAGACTCCTGGCTGAGCACATCCAATGTGGAGCCCAATGGGGGGTTCGATCTCACGACCCTGAGATCATGACCTGAGCTGAAATCAAGAATCGGATGCTTAACCGACTGAGCCACACAGGCCCCT